GGGGAGCCTGGCCAAGACGGGGAGAAGGCCCACCCTCGGGGGGTGGCTCCAATTCGCACCTACTACTCCTGGATCTCTTCCCCCCATACCCCAACCAGGGCGCCCACAACAATAGCATGATGGCAACCACCCGTCAGCGCCCCCAGGACCCCCAGCCCGTCACAGCCGGCCCCCTCCACTGGGGCTGGGTATGCCTCTCCTCCCTACAACTCCAGACCCAGGTGGAGGCAGGCCTGTGTGGCCCCGCAGGTCAGACCCTTCCCCCACCACCACAGCAGCACCTTCTTTGCACAGGAAGTTCACAGAACCGCCCTCCTACCCACGGGGCTCAGCCCTAGCCCAGTCCCCACCCTGCTCCAGGAGATTGGATCCCCGCCCTGAGTAGGTACAGCTGCGAAACAGCCAGGTAAAATTTAAAGAATGGCAGCAAGAGGGAAGGTTTGACAGTTACTCCCCCTTCAGCCTCACTGCCCTCCTCATGCCCACCTAATGCCCTGTCCCCCGTTCTCCACCAGCACCTCCAGGGACAACCACCGCTACAGGACTGCTGGCCAGAGCCTGCCCCTCCAAGGCCTGTGGAACCATCTGCAAAGCTTCCATAGCTACAGTCCCTGGAAACAATCATGCCCTCCTCCCCTAATCAGCACCTGCTACCTGTGAGGGTACCCGTGGGCTTAAAAATAACAATCCCTTCCCGTTCAGACATCACTTACTTGATGAAACATTTCTAGGTTTATTATCTCAGAACCTCCTCATGACAACCCAGTGAGGTAGGTGGAGAAGAGATTACAATTCCCATGGGATATGCGTATGTACTCAGAAATGAAGCTCAGAGAGGAAAAGTGTCAAGCCCAGTGGTTCCCAAGGTGCAGCACACGTCCCACGGGGTGGGGGTTGGGGGGTGGGGGGAGGCAATCTGATTTTAGGTGGGGGCAATTTGAGAATGAATTAACAGTGAATTTTTTGCATTTCTTATGTTTCTAGGGGGCCTCATCTACAGTGTATCCTACATAATAAAAGGCTAATACGTAAATGACCGAAGGGTGGAATGACCGGTCACTACAGTGGTCAGAGCACTCCCACAGGGGGAGCGTTGCTCAGCCAGAAGCCAGGCTCATGGCTGGCAAGCACAGTGGCATTGGTGGGAGCCTCTCCCACCTCCATGGCAATGTTAAGGATGTCCAACTGACGGCTTAGGCCCACTAAGCCGTCAGTTGGACATCCCTCCTGGACTGTAAGAGGGCACAGGCCAGGGTGAGGGACCAACCCTCCCAAGTGCAAGAATTTTGTGCACCGGGCCTCTAGTTAAAAATAAAGAAAGGGATGGGGAGGGAAGGGGAGACAATAAGCAAAGGCAAGTTTGAAGTTAAGGAGTGTCCAGCGCAGAGCTCAGGAGCACTGGGAAGGTCCTTAAGCAGGTGGGAAGAAAGGGAGATAGGAAAGTGTGAAGACATGAACAGACAAACTTGACATGGCATCATGTTATCTCAAGCCCTGGTTATATATGTAAATATTTATTGCCAAATGTACAGATCTTGTGACCAGGTAGGTAAGGCAACTTGACTAGTGACTTGGAGAATGTGGCTGCGAATTCATGCATGTCATCTAAAATCTTAGTGACCAAGTCTTCCTGTGTAGCTGAGTATTTCCACACCTGAAAATACTGGACACCAAATGCTAATAACTTTATAATCATTTTTGCCTACTTACACCTTTGGAGAGGGCCTTGCAGTCTTGGGTTAAGGATGGAAAATTCTCCTTGGAACAATTAGTCTGCTGAATTAAGTAAGTAACTTCATAGTTTGATCCAGACACCACCTGAAACAATGTTGAATAGTTAAAGGGCAGTTTAAACATTACTCACTGTGTTATGAGGAACTTAGAATACTGCCTGGCATATTGCAAGTACTCAAAAATATAAACTCTTAGTACCAGGCAAAAGTCATGACTGAATAAATATGAGCAGTTTATGACTCTCATACTCCTCAACACACACACACACACACACACACACACACACACACACATCCTACACATCCTATCTAATAAAGAGGGAATACGAATATTGACCATCACGCTGTCACAAAGATCAAGGCACCCATAGCACAAAGATGGCAATGCTGAGTCCCCTCAAAGTCCCCCAGTCCTTTCAGCCCTGCCAGGGCGGGTGGCAGGCATGTGGTGCACCAGACCAGTCCTCAGTGGGTCCAGCCGCTCCTTGCACTGGCCTGCCAGAGTCCTTTCAGCCCAGCTGGCGGGGGCATGGGGAGGGCCGCGGCAGGTGCATGGTGCGGCTGGACCTGCCCTCAGGCCCCCAGTCACTCAGGGCAGGCCTGAGGGGCAGGCAAGCCTCGGATGGTGGCTGCCAAGCCACCAAGCTGCCCAGGGCCACCCGAGGTTCAGGTAACCAGGGCTGGCCGATGGGGGTAACACCGATGTGGGTGTCACCTTCCTTTGATCACTGGGTTGCCTCCCGCCCCTAAGGGCTCCCAGACTGTGGGAGGGGGAAGGCCGGGCTGAGGGACCCCCTGTTCAGTGCATGAATTTTCATGCACCTGGCACCTAGTCTGAAAATAAAAAGCAATATATAGGTGGAGTTACTGTATTTTCTTAAGAAAAACCTAGTAATATTTCCTCTTCCAGGCAACAGAAAAATAATGTCCTTTTGAATTTTGTGAAATATTAATAATACTCTTCTAGAACGTTAAAAACACTTTGGAGCTAGAATGGCCTTCACTGGTAAGTTCTCAGGTTCCCAGACAGACAGACAGACAGTAAGTTTTGTGCTGCTTTATCTTGGGCTAGTCCCATCCTCATCACTGGCTATGAACATAATTGAGTAGAATATGCATCTTACATAAAGGGAAGTTGGATCGTCTATTAAAAGCAGGGAAGGTTACTGACTAAAGTAAGTCCCTCATAATTAGACAATGAAATACAAGGAACCTAGTCAACTGTCAGTAAAGATTTAGTGAACTGGATCAATGAAAAGGCCAGATTTCCAAGTATTTACTTTCTTTTAATGATATGAAAACTATAATTTGGAGAGTGCTCAGAAAGCTGTGCCAACTGTTTGAATACCATTTCATATTTTGGAGCCATGTTTGACTCATGATGGCTAAGTGATAATGTAATTTTCTTAAAACTTTAAGGTTAGAATGATCTTTTCATCTCACCATCTCTAAGAAAAACATGTATTTCTGACTACCCATTCATTAAAACCAGCCTCAGAGCCAGGGGTCTGCTTAGCCACACTTTTGCCCTTTATATATTGCAGTATACTAATTGCTTTGACTCAAGAGAAAGCTCTTTACCTCCTATGCCAGTCACATGAGGACATAAAAGAGCTCCCTCACCACCAATCATGGAATCATAGGTTTTCTACTGACCAATGGTTTATTTTAGGTAATGAAACCCTAAACATAAAGATCCAACAAATTTTAACAATACTGTGAGAAATGGAAACTAAAAGACAAACCTCTCTCTGTGCCCTTTTTACATCCTTAAGAGCAAAGAGGTGGGAATGATTAGTGTGGTTGTTAAAATGTTCAATGGCATGTCTCAGAACAGGGTTGAAGTCCGGGGGGATAGTCGATATGGTGTACAGGCAGCCGTAGCAGTCATACTGGGAGGTCACCACAGGGCCTTCAGCTTGACAAAGAAAGAGTAGGCAAAAGGGCAGCGTTAATGAGCAAAACCCAATTCAGATACATTGTCCTAAATAAGTAACATAATTTTGAAGACCTTGGTAAACAAACTTTCTAGTACATTCTGGTATGTATCAGAAAAAGAGAACACGACTGCTTTTTGGTCAGAGAAGAAAAAAACCTACCATTGACTTAGGAACATCTTATGTGCATACTATTGTGCATAATTATTTTAAATTTCTTTAGAAATCATCAATTACAGACATAATACCTTAATTTATCCTCATAAAATAGTAAAACAGTACAGATATAATATTATTTATTTTTCAGTGTTAAATAAAGCTCCTTGAAGCCTCATTCAGTTTATAATATGTTTTGTACCAATTAATTTCAACAAACATGTACATATTTTGCTCCTTCTGTAATATGTCAGGTGCTGAATTAGACTGTGTGGTTACATTAACTTGTTACTGTGGTGTGTTGGGGAGCACAAGAGACTTGGTTGGAAAGTTGTAAGGAGGACATTCTGATAAAAGAAAAGTGTGTGGAAGGCCACCTGCCCTCTTGGTCGAAATTCTGACTTAGGGGAGACATAGGGGAGTGTCAAAGGCAATGCCCCTAATTATTCCTGACCTTCCCAAACAAATCTGATTACATACAGACCCCAGGTGTTTACTGGAATCCTTATGCTTAATCCCTGGATGCCCTTGCATAGATGACAATATAAACACCTTTGTCCTCCCAAGATTACTCACCCTACTGATTGTATGTAAAGATAAAATCTGCTAGAAAAAGCTAACAAGGCAGGCAATGGAGGCTGTTCTGGCCGCTAGAGCCAGGAGCCCCTTAGCCCTCTCTTTCACAGTCAAACTGTGTCTGAGTAATCTGTTCATCCATCGTTCAGGGGCTGCTGGTCAGACTCTGCAGTGGTGAAGGTGTTGGGCAAAGTGGAGTGGGAAAGACAGAGCTACAGATGGACATTTCAAAATAATTCAGCAAGAGCTTGGGAAGGCAGGAGCCCAGAGTGAGCTCAAGAAAGACTTTCATGAGGAGAAGAGGCCTGAGCTAAGAAGGGTGTAAAGTGATCAAGGTCAACTGGGCAACATAAAGTGTGAGCCTGAGAAGAAGGAACAAAGGGAGGAATGGCTCTCAAGAAAGCAGGATGAGTCAGGGGCAGCGTGTGGAATGCGGTGTATGCTTTTTACTGGGGCTTAAAGCAGGAGGCAGGGACTGGCGATTGAGGTCTGGACAATTAATAGAGAGTCCCTCTGCTGTGGAGCCCAGGCCACTCTCTGGAGTCCAGGGATTATGAACTGTATTCCAAGGGTCATGGGCTCCTTGGTGAACTTGATGAGAATATGGCGCCCTCTGCAGGAATATGCCGGTATTCACAATGTTCTCCATATAATTTCAGGGTGTGCATAGACCCACTGAAGTGAATTAAGAGTGGTCCGCAGTAAAGATGGGGTGCCACTGACTGGGATTTAATAAAATAACATAAAATATTAAAACAGGAGTGAGCTTGTATTAAGTTACCTATTCATGTTTATAACAGATAGCTTTAACCCGCTGGTCAGTACAGGCACACGCTATAGAGAGGAAACCACGAAGGCATCCTGGGCCCCTTTGCCTTGGGCTCTCACTGTCCAAGTGTGTAGGAGCCAAACAGAATCAGCAGGCCAACAGTGTTCTACAACAGTGTCCCTCAACACAACTCCCCTTGCAGCTGTTTCTTGACACTCACTCCATAAGCATGTGTGTCAGAAAAAAGATTTACTGGGTGAATATTCATAGCTTTCCTCACTGCTCTCCCTTTGCAGAAGGTATGTTGCATCAGGGCAGTGGACAAAGTTAAGAAACTGGAGAGGACTTACATGGGAAAGGAGAGATAATTACTGATGGCAGGACAAAAGATTGATGAACACAGAAGGGGGAGGTGGAAGGGAATAGAGACCAGAGGCTGGTATGCTGACCTCAAGGGCAGCTCTGACAGGTAAGAGGAGAGATGGAGCAGTCTTTTGAGGGAGAAATATGCAAATTAATTTTTTCCAGGCAATGGAATGATTTTCCATCCTGCTCCAACATTTATAGGGAGAATTTTAAAAAATTTTTAAAAGATTTTAAATTTTGAATTCTGAAAGATATTTGGCCATAAAGGTTTCAGTTAAGGGATTGTGGACCTAGTAATAATTGTGGATCTACAAGGTGTGGCAAAGAGTTTTTCCTCTCATAGTATATAAGTGCTGGGTTCTGATCATGTGAAAATTTGCTTATGAGTTAAAGTTCTTAAACTAAATAATTAAAAGCTACTCCTAAATTTTTTAAAACAATTGTGATTTCAGCTTTGGACTATTTGTCTTTGAATGCCTCTTGTTGCAAGAGCTGAAACTCAAGAAACAGTTTTTGTGGGTTCCTTATGGATGACTAAGGCCATGACAGAACAATGGCTCCTCCACTGATGTTCACCAGTGTGGCCGAGGATGCTGTTCTGGAGCCTCATCTACTAAAACCCTATTTTGCAAAAGGCCAGTTCTAGGTTGGCTTTTGTGACTGACATCCCCTAGATGTGTCCATCCTTCTCTACCCAGCCACTCGGCCACCAAAGGGAAGGTGCCAATAGTGGTTATATCTGCATAAGTTGCTCCATTCTTACAAGGTCTACTATACCAACTCTGCTAATTGCCAGCTATGGGATACTGGGCAAGATACTTAACTGTGGTGGGCCTGGGTTTCCTCATTTGTAAAATGACAATATTAACACTTGCCCCATTGAATTGTTGTGAAGATTAAATAAATCATCATCATATATAAAACAATTAGCACTGTGGCTATCAATAAGTGCTCAATAAATGCCAGCTATGATTACTTTTATTCTGATGATCGTTAATTCATTATTATGCTTTAACTTCAAGCCTGCCATCTAGTTTCAGTCTACAATAACCCTCTGAAGTGAGAATTCCTCTGATCCCCTTTTAAGGAAAAGGGAAACCAAAAAGGTGAAGAGCTGTTGAAAGATTGCAGGCCAGATCTGACCTCAAAACCTGTGCTTTTCTGGCTCTACTATACCCCACAATTGAAGCATGTGGCATGTTTCTAGTCCTTTCCCAGGGCCTTTGCACACACCTAATTCAGTGCCACTGTCCAGAGAGAGGCCAGGGGGTGACTGGCAGGAGCCTGGCCCCCCCTCAGTACTCTGCCACCAAAGACCCCCAAACCCCAAGTCTGCAAATGGCATTGCATAGCCACCCACTGCCCTTTGAGCAAGGGCTTTGTCCAGGTTATGCTCCTGGCCCCACAGGAAATGGTTCGTTTCCCCCCAGGGCAGCGCCACCCTATATATCAGCTACCTGGAGTAATGTGGCAGGTCTGGGTAGTCACGGAGAATTCCATTTTCCCTTTCTTCACTATGGTCGCCATGCATTCTCCTGTAGCCTAGAAAGAAAGAAAGAAAGAAAGAAAGAAAGAAAGAAAGAAAGAAAGAAAGAAAGAAAGAAAGAAAGAAAGAAAGAAAGAAAGAAAGAAAGAAAGAAAGAAAGAAAGAAAGAAAGAAAGAGAGGAAGGAAGGAAGGAAGGAAGGAAGGAAGGAAGGAAGGAAAAGGAGACCATTTATCTTAATCTTTCAGATGGAGAAGGGCAAGGAGAGGTGTTGCTACTAGCAAGTATGGCTTTTCTCTTATTTAAAACTTAAGATTTTTTTCTAACAGACTTTTGAGACACAAGAATGAATGTTTTTGTAGCCTAATTATTAATTACAAGTCATTGATATTCATGAGGTGTCCAGAGGAGAGGCAGTACAGACAGTAAAGTTTTAAAATAATGTTATGTTTGGACACTGGAGATATTTCTTTTTCACCAAGGTGAACACAGTGCCCTAAAACTAGCCTGCCGAACTCTCCTCTTACAGTTCAACTTCAGGGTTCAGCTGCACAGAGGATGCGGTGCTTGATACCATTGTAATAACCAGGTATTAACTGAAAAGGAGCAAAGGGAAGGCCAAATAGACACTGTTAAGGGCCATTAGTAAACACTCTGGCTTAATTTATGTCAGCTGAAATTCAGTGTGGGGGCAAAGTCACGCCCTGAATGTGGAACCCAGTCAAGAGATTGGACACCACACAGTCTGACTCTCCCACCCAGTGTTTAGGGGATGGATCTCATGATGTCGAAGGCCCATCCAGATGTGATGTAACTTCCTGTAATTCGAGTATGTAATAAACAGCTTTAGGTGCTGGTGCTCTGTCTCTCTGTGTCTGTCCCTCCATCAGAGGGCAGGCTCTCTCTGTCTGTCCCTCCAGTCGGAGGGCAGACACCACACCCAGCCCAAGCTTTTAATCTATTTTATGTCTGACTTTCATTATTCTTTAATCCCGAAAGCGACTCCTAAGTTGTATGAACCAGTTCACGTCTCCCTCTCCCTGCAGGACGCAGAGAAGAGACCTCAGCCCCGGAGCGCCCACCATAAGACACAGGCCCAGTAAAGTCTGGGTGAGGTTGGGAAGGTACTTGTCTGTTAGTCACCCCTGGGAACATAGTTGGTGTGGCCACTGCAAGCACAGGAAGATTTCAGATATTAAACTCCTAAACAAAGGAGTTCTCTCTCTTGCCTCTCTTGCACACTGGGGCTCCTGGCTCTCTTGTTGCCGGGGACACACTCCCCTGCATACAACCACATGGCCCACAGCCATATGTCCCCTCCCCCCCACCCCTACCCTCACACACAATGGACTAATGGAAGGGAACTAGCCTGGTGCTGTGCCGGACCCAGCTCCACCATGGAATGGAAACTAGGGACATTGGTTTGGCTGCACCTCTTTTAGGACTGGTTTAAGGGAAATGGGACTTTAGACATGCAGATATGGAATTCCACACAAATAAAGATCTCTCATCTTCTGTGTGAGTCTTAGAAAGTTCTTTTTCTCAAGATACCATGAGGCCCAGACCTCCAAAATCCTGTGGGGAAACAGATCCCCCACTTCCCACCAGCGGACACCCCATTTCCACCAATAACGTTTTGACACATTAAAGAGGTGAGTCCCTGGACTGTGGAAAGAGTGGCTTCCTACTTGGCAGACACTGGCTGTTTGCTCCCTCAGTTAAAGTTAAACAACCAGCAGCTGTGGTATAGCAAACAGATGTTAGGCATTTAGTTAAGATTCCTTGTTATTAAAACAAGGTCTTTTCATATGTATCTCCTTTCATCTTCCAATTTAGGTTCATTTTACCTCTTACAAGGGAGCCCATGGGTTAAAAGTGGTCAGCTAATTAGAGGCAGAGTAGAATTCCAACTCAGGTCTGCACAAATAAGGCACCCAATTGGTCATAGGAGTCACCTCTTCATGGGAGGGCTTTCTCCAATCTCATGGCCGGCCTTTCATGCCCTTTCTGTCTGTGCAAGAACATAGACATCAACCATTTGACTTCTGTACACATTTGAGCCCCTCAAAAACAGGCTCCACAGCACTAACAGAATAATTTGGTCTCAACTGAGAAAACTGGAGGCTCCGGACCATCACACTTACAGCCTGCTCAGGTTCTTTGTAGTCACAGTCTTGCCAGGTTTTGCCACTTTGAGCAGGACAGTCGCCCTCCTTGATTTCGTACTTGACAGAATAAAATATGTTCCGGTCTCCCTGGAAAAAAGCAATCAAACATACATAGGGCTCATTCAACTGACAACAGCAGACCATTGGAGAGGGATCTGGTGCAGTTATGAATATTTGATATTGATTTAATTCAGCAAGAGAAAAACATTTACTAAAAATACTAAATGTTATAAATACTTGGAAGAATGATGATAATATATTTATAAACATGTATTATCAAATAACAAAGTAGTATATGTAGTATTAGCCCATTTTTGTAGAAACCAATTTCATGCACATATATAATTTTAAAAGCCTGAAAAGTTATGCAGCAAAACTGTTAACATGTTGCATCTCAGTGGGGGGTGTATGGTTATCTTTTACTTTCTTCTTTAAACAAACATTCCTAAATTGTCTGAGTATTTTTTGAAAAAATATATATTACTTTACAATTAGAAAACAAACCAACAACAAGAGTACTTTCTTCTTTCATTTTTTGAAAAAAATGTTAACAGGTATCTCTGGGTGATGAGATTAGTTATGGGTAATTTTAGTATTTTTATTTGGTTTCTTTTGTTTTCTATTTTTTTCTAACATGTCATAAAATAATAAATAAAACTTTTAAGGCTCAAGGTTCTAAGTTAGATGAGCTTTTAGATGCAAAATTCTGGCATATTGGAGCAGCAAGAGCCGGAGAGGTGCTGCTGCCCAGCCCCTCACTTTGCAGGTGAGAGAAAGGAGGCCCAAGTAGAGAGGGCAGAGCTTAGGCAGCCGCCCACCTTGGAAAGGCAAAGCCAACCCAGACCCTGGTTCTCCTGAGTCCAGGGGTAGTGCTCTCTCAGGGCCTGCACTCGTCAGAGTATTTGCATCTGGGAGATGATGGAGTCAAACACAATTGTTCCGAGGTTCGTTTAGGGTCTCATATTTAGATAAAGCAGCAGGTGATAGTGATTGTGTGGACATTTTAGGGAAAACAAAGTACCCAACAACAACACATTTGCTACAGATGTCCGCCAATGACAACACCAATAAAACATCGCCAAGGCCACCAGGACTCACATGACTATACTAGTTTGTAAAATCAGAATGGCTCAATGTTACTTTCAGAAAAAAAAAAATAAATAAATAAATAAAAAGCCCAATGGGCTTTTTTCTTTAATCTCATCATGTCAAATGGATGGATTTTTTCTTCCACCAAAGTAAACTATCACAGAGACATAGTGAAATTCATTTGAACAAACTATTGAAAGCTTGTATTTTTTTAACTTTGATTTTTTTCCATTTAAAAATAATTTGTTTTCTTTTGCATGACATAAGAATTCTAGTTTCTAAATGGGATACATCCAAAACAAAAATATGCCCCCTGTGTCTCATCTTTATTTTCACCCATGCAAGAAACCCTTCTGGAATATCAGCATGTGATTAAATAGGTATCGAACCACTGAATCTACAGGTTAATACATATTCTGTTATGGCAGAATAACCAAGAATTTCCCCCAAAGAAAGATGTTAATTTTCTAAATATAAAAGGGTCTGAGAGGATCATATTCGAACAAACAAAAATCTCTTATGCCAGGTTTTTAGGCTAAAGATGGATAACACACTGGCAGCTGAAGAAAGCTGAAACTATACATAGATCCAAATTAAGAATTTCTAAATTTCTTTAGAAAACAGAACCAGAATTCCTTTTTTAAAATGACCCTGTGGAATGGCTTTGCTTCCATATTTACCTAATATGGTAACAGTAAAACAGACACAAGTACATTGATGACAGCTCAACAATGCTGGATGCAGGATGATTACACCTGCACTTTCGTTTAAAAGTCCCACAGGTTTATTGACTAAGGCTGGACAGCAAGTCATATGATCCTATTTGATGCCTTTTCTACAGTGTCCAAGATCAGTATACGGATACAGCCAAAGACTGGGCCCCAACTTTCAGGAAAAAGACCACAAAGAAGAAAATCAAGGTAGTTATTTAGTCCCCCTAGTTAATTGTTTGAACTGGAACAACAAAAGGTGTAAAACAGGGACTGCAATGAATTAAAGGAGGTGGAAAAAGTTGGTGGAGAGAGGCATGGTATATGAGTAAAGTCATTGGGTTTGGGATGTCAAGGACAATGCAAAAAAGAGCATCCATGGGACCACGTATTTATAATGTCCTGTGGTATCACTCCCTCAATGACATTATGATATCTATATTCGGAAATAAATAGATCAGTTATGCAACAAGGCAGTGTGTCAAATATGCAATCATCCTGTGGAATGCACCACCACAGAGATACATGATGCCATATAAATTCTTTAAGTGTTCTTGTGTTGTGTCTGATTTGCTTGTTTTCAAAGCCACCCAGGCAAACTCCTCCCAGGATGTCCTTGGAGAGAAGATGGTCCGCTGAGCCCAGTTGGTTAACCTTTCCTTTATCAAGAGATCATGATTAACTTTAAAGAGAAATAAAGCTAAAGGCTGTTTGATTTTGATTTTTTTCCCTTTCAGCTTCATCATTCTGAATGTTTTCATATAAACAACAACAACAAAATCACAACTAAACCCTCCATTCCATCCCCCCAACCTAATAGTTTTGATGCATCCAGTTTTATTTCTTAGAATCACACATCCTGTCAGGATTTATCTTCAACCTGAGTGTATCCATCAGTGATAAAGAATATTCTAAACCAACTAGAACCTTGTTGTTACCCTTGATGCATTCAGCCATTGGGACTTCATGGTAGATATTTTATCTAATATAGTAGAACTGTATTAACTTCTTTTCTGACTCCTCTTGACATATCCCACTGTCCCTCATTCACCCTAGTTTTATTGAGGTATAATTTATTGGGGTATATTTATTGGGGTATACTTATTGATGTATAAATAAATTACATATATTTAAGATATAGGAAAAGATGATTTGTATATGTATACATTGTGAAATGATTACCACAAATAAGCTAATTAACATATTGTCAACTCACATAATTACCTGTTTTGTGTGTGGTGAGAACTCTTAAAATCTAGCCCTTTAGCAGATTTCAAGCATACAATACAGTAATATTAATTCTATTCACCATGCTGTACATTAGACCCCCAGGACTTACTCATTTTATTTTCTTAAAATATATTTTTATTGATTTCAAAGAGGAAGGAAAAAGGAGAGAGAGATAGAAACATCAATGATGAGAGAGAATCACTGATTGGCTGCCTCCTGCACACCCCACACTGGGGATCAAGCCTGCAATCCAGGCATGTGTCTGACCGGGAATTGAACCACCACCACCTAGTTCATAGGTTGACGCTCATCCATTGAGCTAAGCTACCAGGCTCTTTGTATAACTGAAAGTTTGTACCCTTGACAAACACCTCCCCATTTCTCCCATCCCAAAGTCCCTGGCAACCACCATTCTACTTTCTGCTTTTGTTAGGTTTGACTTTCTTAGATTCCATTTATGTATGAGATTATACAGTATGTGTTAGTCATACCCCCTTAAAGACCTCCTCCACTTTGAGGTCTGGAAGTCTTTATATTTTAGTTTAAGGCCGGTCACCAGAAAATTCTCTTGCTGTGGCCTGATGAGTTCCTGAATATGCCCACTCTACATAGTCCCTTTCAAATGACTCCATCTACCTTTCTTTAATTTCAGCCTAGAATACCAGTACTCTGATTACCCAGGAGGCCAACCTTGGAGGCTTGAGGACTAGTCATACCCTGCCCAAGTCCCAGCCCAGAGGGTAGGGTTGGTCTTTTCTAAGCCTCTAACTTTAATTATCAGGTTTTTTTCTGTGTGATGTGGTGTGTGTGTGTGTGTGTGTGTGTGTGTGTGTGTGTGTGTGTGTATGTCCTGGTTTCAAGTGATAGCACAAATCCCAAATGACCTCAAGGTTAAAGACAACTCTCTTACCGTCTTGATGACTTCGGTTATGCGGTACAATACAAACTGATTGCCACTTTTTCTTCCATTATTGTATTTCTTCAGAGCTGCATCCACAGCCTTAAATACATCCTCATCATTGCAGTCAACTACTTGTGGTTGGTCCTGGTGGGCGAAACTTGTTAACAGCCTGGAACAAAGGAAAATGATGGCAATTAACTTCATGATTTGTCAGTCTCCCTCTGGGAGTTTCACCAAGAATTGGAAGCTAACTTGGAGGCTGATGTTAACCCTCTTCAGCCTCTTATCTCTTCTGTCTCTCCTCTCTCTGCCTTAGCACTTTAGGGTTCTGCTTGGCTTCCTGCTGCCCTCCACTATTTGCCCTCTTATAAAGGACAAATGGCTCCGCTGGATTACCCAAGCAGATCTCAGGCTGGTCCATTTCAACACTGGGTTGTTGACCTCCTTGCTTGTATTTGGGAGGTATGTGTGAACACATTTCCAGGAAATTGTACAGCTTTGTATAGCAAATCAGAGTACAATCCAATAAAGGAGGAGAGAAAAAAAATCAATCACCTGTTATTCCCTTTCCCAAATGACTTTCCCAAAGCTATTTATGAAGGTCACTGCATGTGACAACAATGCAACCATGAGCAGACCTCTTTCAATAAAATTTCTTTGCACTCCCGGAGAGCAAATGCACAGGGACATAGTGAGTGCAGGGAGTCTCACCAGGACATTGGCATGACTGAAAATAAAAAATGGGCATCCTATCTGGTCTTTGGCCAAGCCAGCCTCCCTCCAATCTACTGGATCTGTTGTAGAAAGGAAAATGTTCCCAGGGGGTAAGAGACGGGGGAGAAACTTACGGGGAGATGGTTTGAGTGAAGCCTCCTTAACCTGTCCTTCCTTCTTGTTTCTGGATTGGTGGACTTTATAGGGGCCTTTCATTCACCAAGACTAAGTGACCTTTCAGATAAAGTTAGACTATTCAGGGAGAGTAGGTCTAAAGGTAGGTTAAAGATATGGGCTATTAGATGTTTGTATTTAAGTCTTTCCCTCTTCCCCCCAAAAAGGTGTTAGACATTTTTGTTGTTGGTGATCCGGTACCTCACTTGGCAAGCCAATCTCCCTGAGAGCCCCTGGAAAAGAGGGATTGATGGGAGCTGAATGATGGCCTTGTAGCAGAGTGGCAGGAACATGAGCTGGGCAGTAAGCCCAACCTTGATTCCAATCCAGTTCTGCTACTTAACTGCTGTGTGATCCTGAGCAAATCAGGGTCATATAGCCTTTCAGAGCCTCCAATTTCTCATCTGGAAAAGTGAAATATCATAATATCTTATGAGGTTTTCTGAGGAGTAATAAGATAATATATGTGCAGAGCCTGGTAATTAGTTCATATAAATTATATCTAATATTAGGGCTGGTTGGTTAAGAATCCCTGACTTACTGAAGCAGTTTCAGGTGTGTGATGATGGCAGAAGGTAGGTTCTAGCGTGTGTGTGGCAGGGCCAGCAGGTGGTGGGAGATGTAGGAAATGAAACTAAGGATGAAAAAGACTTGGGTAATTTCTTAGTCTTGGACGAAAGAGGGACCTGCAAAGATGGAGAAGCTGAGGGTGGGAAAGGGAGGAGATGACTGATGTGCATGGTCCAGGAGGAGTTGAAAAAAAGCACAGGGCTGATCAGGTTGGGTGTTTCAAGTGAAGATTCAGAAACAGGACTTTCCAGTGTATACAGGTGGCATAATAAATAGGAAAGCATGTGACTTTGGAGGAGGCTGATTTGGGTTCTAATCCCAGGCCCAATTTACTGACTATAACAAACAATTTTTAGCTATCATGTAATAAAACAAATCTAGAAAAGGAGCTATCAATTATATCTTGTCTAAATCTCTAGTAGAATGTAAGCTTACTAGAGTAGGGATTGTTTCTTACCCCATTATTCAGCTGCAGCAACTGTGTTTGCATATTATAAATGCATTTAATGGACATGAATTAAGAACATTCAATCCCGTTTTTTTCCCGGGTACTATTTTAGATAACTCAAGCAATATTTGTGAAAGTACTTTATAAATTAGAAAACACTACTAAAATGCTCCTGTGAGTTATTGAGCTATGCATTTTTTTTGGGGGGGGGGGCGGTTCTTGGATTTCACCTTTCTTTATTCTCTATCTAAGCAGCCGTCCCTGTATTCACGCCACTGGAGGAATGTGATTCTGCAGAGCAGACATTTGGCTAGAGCCTCCCTGGTTTTTAACCGCTGGCGACCATTCTGACTGGCTGTTGTATCTGCTCTGTTGGTCAGCACTGGTGTCATTTGGGTTACTAAATATTATTAAATATTTCGGGTATCATCGTGTGGTTTCATGAAATGACATCTAGCTGTACTCTGGGGAGAAAAGGGAAGTGGGCTGCCACCATCACCATTTTTTAAAAAAAGGCAAATGGGGCCCAAAGAGGTTTAATGACTTTCTTAGTATCTCATAATCAATAAATTGTAGGACTGGAATTAGAACCCAAATGGGCCTTCTTCAAAGTCACATGATTTTCTATTTATTATACTGCCTGAATCTGTTGCCACTTTCTAATTTTATTAAGAAACTAGAGGCCCGATGCATGAAAATGTATGCACTGGAGGGGTGGTGGGGGTCCCTCAGACTGGCCTGCCCCCTTTTGCAGTCCGGGAGCCCTCAGAGGCAGGAAGTGACCTGGTGATCAGGGGAAGGCGATGCCCCATCACACCACTGCTGATGCCACTGCCGGCAATGCAAGCCTTGGCCGGCCCCCGTTACCTGAGCCTAGGGCAGCCCTGGGTGGCTGGGGGACTGAGGGGACTGGGGGACTCCAGAGGCAGGTGTGCGGAGCAGGTCTGGCCTTGCTGTGCACTTGGCGCCCTGTCGGGGCTGAGGGGACTGGGCATCGCCATCTTGTGGCTGTGAGCGCTGCCATCTTTGAGGTGTGGCAGGCAATTAGCATGTTCCCTCCTTATTGGTTGTGGGTGCCGCCATCTTTGGGAGAGTGTGAAGGTCAATTAGCATATTCCCTCTTTATTAGGTAGGATAATTGACATACATCCTTGCGTAAGTTTAAAGTGTTCCACATGATGCTTTGATTTACATATCATTTGAAATGATTACAATAGGTTTAGTTAACATTAATTGTCTCATATAGATATGATAAAAAGAAAAGATTTCTTCTTGTGATGAGAACTCTTAGGATCTACTCTCTGAGCATCTTTCCTGTATATCATGCAGGAGTGTTAACTATAGTCACCATTCTGTAAATTTCACCTTAGTCCTCACTTCTCTTAACACTGGAAGTTTGCATCTTTTGATCACCTTCCTCCAGGTCCTGTTTCTGAGTCTTCACTTGAAGCACCCACTGTGATCAGCCTTGGACTCCTTTCCACTCCTCCTGGACCACACACATCAGTCATCTCCCACCCTCAGCTTCTGCATCTTGTGGGTCCCTCTTTCTTCCCAGCCCAATACCTTACCCAAGTCTCTCTCACCCTTAGTTTTTTTTCTTTCTCTTCCTTCCCCCATTAGAATCTACCTGCTGCCACCACCACACACCTGAATTGCTTCAATAAGTCAGATAGAGAGAATCTAAAGTCTTATTAGCTTGAGTCTAATTGCTTGAATCTGGTTTGGAAAGAAGGAAAAGAAAAAGAAAATTCAAATTTGAAAAAAGAGTCCCCTGGCCTCAAAAATGAATAAAGAAAACTTTCTGAGACTAGAAAAGCCCCTAACATGGGAGAAGGTATGAGAAGAACACAGGAGTCTGGGGGTTTGGAAGCAGAGGACACTCAGCCGTGCTTTCTGGACATGTATCCGGAAAGACAGCAAGATTCCAGAGGGAGATGAATATAGTATTCTTGGCAGTCATTTCATCAGTAGCCTTAGAGAGACTCCTGCATCCCCAATTTGATTCAGAAGAGGCAGATACACTAGACCAAAGAGTGATGTGAACATGATAGTAAGCATTCCTTAGCAGGGGGACTTGGTGAACCAGTAAGGAAGAATCAGACCTTCTTCTCATGCCCACCACCCAAACACCTGGGACTATGTGAGACTCTTGAAATGAGGCATACCTTTGTGTGGGGAGGAGCGGGGTGGGGAAACTCTAAGAGGGACTGAGGTTAAGTTTTCTATTATCCCAGCAGGATGGCACTTGAAATAAAAATTAATGTTTTGAAAACAAAGTGTTAGTTCTGGGGCACTTGAATTTATGGTCATGATTCATGCCTATGAACTCCTTTGAAAATTATATCCTGAGCTTTGTTTACTTTATAATTAAATTAGGAACTTATTTTCCAAAATAAAGGGAATTTAGAAAACTAGAAATAAGAAATAGGAGAGAATTTGATCACTTTATAAGAACAATCCATTATATGACAATACATAATTTCTTGGCTTGCCCAGCTACAGCATAAATACTAGAGGAATGATGCTAGAATTAAAGGAGTTGAGCCCAGGAAGTAAAGAAATTCTGAGGATCAGAGGTTTGTTTTGAGTGGTGTAGCCGTCAGTGAGAGAATAAACTTTTGACTTGGGACATTGAGATTGTTTTCTCTCCTCCTCATTTTTCTTGTACTTCTCATATCATCTTCACCCTACCCACATTCTGTCCTATTTTGAATATGAAAGTTAAGATTTCGATAACTTGCAATGTTGCATTTATTATTGGTTACATTTTATTTATGGTTCAAATTCAGAACATTACTCATTTTTCAAGGAACTCAGATTTGTTTTTGGAAATGTCTCTTCAAAAAACTTTGAAACTTGGGAAAATTCACTCTTGAACATCCCTAGACATAATTCAGAGGCTAATTGAGGGAAAGGCTGGATTTTTGGCTTTAGAGGATGGTTGTGGTTTAGCAATGAGAAACTGGGAAAACTGGCTTCAGGAAGAGGAAGAACTTCACCTTTTTTAAGTGGAGGGAGTCGCTAACATATCCAATTTGTCTCCATTTTAAAGGAAAGTGACCTTTGCCTGGACCTCTTTCTTCTGAGTGCCTATGTGGTGGGCCATGGCCCTGGTGATGGTGATCTTGGTGACCTTGCCTAAGGGGTGGTGGGTCACAGGGTCCATGGTCATGAAAACCATGGCCATTGGGATGCTGTCCAAAGAGATGGTGTCCATGAGGATGATGCTCATGAGGACGGTGTCCATGGGAATGGTGCTCACTGGAACTATGATTATGAGAGTGTGCATGTATGCCATTGGTGCCAAAATGGAAGTGATGACATCTTGAAAGGGGCAGTCATGAAGGAGCTTCTGCTTGAAGTGGTGGTCTATCTGAGTGATTTTTGTCATCCAGAGGAAGTCGGCATCCAGGTTTATGTGACTTGTGGGGATATAGGTTATGTCTGGATCTACTGTGTATAAATGGAGGCTTGCCAGCAGAGGAATGCCCATGGCCTCCAGAGTGGAGGAGATGGTCCAAATGGGGTTGTACATCACTGATGTTTCTATGTTTCTGGTGAAGGACACAGAAAAGTGACTATTATCATGTAAAGAAGAAATTAAATGTTTAACTTGATTTAATGCAACTAAGTCCATACTTTTGGATTGCAGAAATAAATTTTAAAAGTAGGATATCAAAGAAGGGTTCTCAAATTTTTATCTAGGAAAGTTGGCATTTAAAATACAAAGAAAAATTATCATCTACCACCATCATTTCACAACAGCAATAATAAAATATAACAACAGTCAGAAAGATAATCTCAGAGTAAAGGATGGTTCTTTTATATGTAATATGTTATACCACAAACAATTTTTCTTATTATCTTTATTTTTCTCATTTCCATATAAAGTAATAAAATTATATTACACAATGGTACTCATCTGTAGATCAACATTTGGAAAACTAGTGCCTTATAATTTAGGCTCTCAGCAGAATTCTGAGATTCTGTGGTATAAGCATCTCTTACTCCTAAAAGATGAGCACTTCACCTCTTCACTCTCCTTATTCAGGTTTTAATATTTAAAAAAAATCTGTGCAGCCATGCCCATGGTGATATATCTGCCTCCCTTTTTGGTTTGTCACATGGATATTTGGATTATTTTTTTCTGATATAAAAATACTGTGAAGGATATTTGTGTGTAAAACAAAAGTTTCTACACACTGATAATTCTCATAAAATATTTTGTATTTTATTTTACATATCTTTATGTAATAAATTGGGCACTAATTCATTCCCAGGGGAGGAGTTAAGAGGGGTTGGTCAAAAGGGAAGCATAACAAAGGGGTCCCAGAAATTATTGGGGGTGATGGATATGTTCACAATCTTAAGTGTGGTGTTGTATTCATTGGCATATACATATGTTAGAATTGTCAAATTCTAACATATTTGATACATATTATCAAATTCTAACATATCAATTACACCTCAGTAAAGTTGCTATTGTTTTAAAACAAACAAACAAACAAACAAACAAACAAACAAAGCAGCAGATTTTTGTCTTTCTCTGTCTGGCTTATTTCACTTAGCATCATACCCTGTACATTGTCACCTGTACATTGTCACAAATGGTAAGATTTGATATTTTTATGCTAATATTTTATTATAAATTTGCTAGAGGCCTGTTGCACGAAAAGCTTCCCTTCCCCTGGCTGCTGGCACCGGTTTTCCTCCAGCACCTGGCACCCAGGCCTTCGCTGCTCCGGCTGGAGCCACCTTCAGCGCCTTCACTGCTCAGCTTCGCACCTACATATGCAAATTAACCGCCATTTTTGTTGGAGGTTAATTTGCATATCTCGCTGATTAGCCCATGGAAGGCGTAGCGAAGGTACGGTCAATTACCCTGTTTGTCTATTATTAGATTAGATAATACATATTCTTTATCTAATCTATTGATAGGCACTTAGGTTGCTTCCATATCTTGCCTATTGTAAATAATGCTGCAATGAATTTAAGGATGCATGTATCTTTTTGAATTTGTGTACACTTGAAACTAATATTATATAGAATGTTACCGATAAGTTAGAAATTATAATAATAAAAATCATCTGGCCCAAGGAGGCTAGTGGGGAGAGGGTCAATGAAACTGAATTATCATCTGCATGGTAGGAGCCTGGGCCCTCAGACTCCAGCTGAACATTAGTGGAAACTCATGCCTCTGCCAACTCTCTCCCCTTGGTCCACTCTGAGAGAGGCAAAGTCACCATTCTCCTTTTTGTACATCTCAAGGACTTTGTCTGCTTGTTTTCTGTAGGCCTCAGTCTCCTCAAAGAAATCCAAGAGTACGGGGCTGTCTTCAGTTTTGGCCAATGCAGAAAAGACTGGAGAAAGAAAATGGTAGTTTTCTGGCTAAATAGCACTGTCAATGCTATGACTTAATACATTTATGCATGGTGGAAACAATAACAATACCTCCTGTATTACAGACAGGTGAACTGAGGGTTGGAGAGGCTAAGAAAGTTGTTCCAGCAAATCAGCTAATCAGCAGAAGAGCTAAACTTAAACCCAGATCCTTCTGATGCTCAAGCCTCGGTTGTTACCTTATTCAGATGCCCCAACCCCAGCATTGATAAAGTGTGAATATTTGAATGAACTCTTTCTATCTCTGCCAAGGAGGGAGAGAATCATTAACAAGAAGTTTTGCCTAGAGAGAGAAGATAAAGCTCAGTCTTCTTTAAGGCAAGCTCCTGAAGGAGTTTCTTGGCTGCTGAATTTTTGTATATTGAATTATGCTGAAATTTGCAATTTTTAAAGGAACTCTGTGATAATTCTCTTGGGAAAAGTAAATAAAAGAACTTGGACTTTAGAGTCAACACTGGTGGGGTAGGTTTAGGGTCACCACATTTTGGCTGTTTTTTTAGGCCAAGTAATTTAACCTCTTTGAGCCTCTTTTAACTCTAAAATAGAAAGTCTCATAATCTTCATAGTCTTGTTATAAGATTAAATGAGACCGCTGTGTAAACTGTAGTATTAATACAGAAGTTTTAGATGTTGAAGTGAACATATTTCTAAGTAATTTGGAAGTGTACTACCCAGAGCATCTTCTTTAATTCCAACAAATACCCAAAAAGCTTATACTATTATTAGCTTTATTTTACACATGAGGAATCCTTAAAGAGGTTACGTAACTTCCCCTAAAGACCATGAAACTAGTAAATTATGAGACTGGGATTCAAAATCAAGCCAATCTGACCCCAGACAGAGCCCATGTTCTCTGTAATGATGCTCTGCTGCCTTATGTAGCTTTCTATTTTTATATATTTAATTTTTTGAGAAGTGTATCAATAACAGGAGGAAACCCTCTTGCAACTCTTTTCAGGAGAGAGAGGAATAATCAAGTCCATGAGCATAAGTAGAGTCCATTTTTGATATGTACATCATAGTATTTTGTTAAATATCACTGTATGATTGAATTCTATATCAATCTAGAATTAAGCAGTATTTTAACAGATTATCATACCAGAGCTTGTGGTGCAATTGAAGTCATTCACTCTAAGATCCTGAAATTCACTCAAATGTGTTGTAGCTATTGCATTACACTGTTCAATCATCTGTAAGAAAGAGTTTATCATTGTGTATTGCTGTCTTCGGGTTGAATATGAAGACACAAAAAAAGTGATGCAACATACCCTATTATCCTTTAAAATTTGTTTGTGTTTCTCAATAAATCCTCTTTCAAACCTGTACCTTCTTAATTTGTATCTGTGAGTTAGATGCCATAGGTACCCAAAACCCTCATGAGAACCACAGATAAATTGTTTAAACAGATCATGGCCATATCTCAAACATTTTCAAGAAGAAAAAAATGCAAACATTTCTAGATATGTAAGTGTCTTATTATCTGGAACTAAAATCTTAGATCTGTGCCTTTTCATCTTTGTGTTCTTCTCCTGTGGCAGACAGCCTGGGATCTGATTACCCATGTGCAAAGCAGCACAAGGTCCCATTCCTCATGATAATTGCAATTAATCTCTTTTGGCCACTCCTGCTCAGGGACCAGTCTTCATAGGACACAATTACAACTTCATAGGTTCTACACCCATAGACTATCAGGGCCCGATAGGACCTTAGAGTTTATCTTTTCTAACCTCCTCCTCTTATTTTACAGCTGAGGAGACGGACATTAGCAACATTAGGCGATTTGCACAAGGTTATAGCTGGTCATGCTATAACAAGTCCCATTGACATATCTTGAACTGGGTTCCTAGGTATGGCTCTCAAGTGAATATTACTCAAGGTCGACATCATCTTCATGAGTCAAAAGACAGAAACTGGCCTTCCACTTTTGCTGTGGCATACAGCTACCCTGAGAAAACAGAGTAGACAGAAGTCAAGAATAAGAAAATGAGGAGAATGGTACCATGTTTACTTACAATATCAGGTGGATATCTAGAAATATTTGGCTCACAGTCATCCCAGTGTTTCCTGGATTGGACTGGGCAGTCGGATTCTTTCACTTCTAAGACAAAATTGTAGACATCTGTGGATTCCTGAAAAATTCCCAAGAAAGCAACAGTGTAACATGTGGGAGCCCAGTATGTTTTCATTAGAAACAATCTCTTGATTTCTTAAACAGAATTTCTGTTCCTTTCCAAATCATTGCACATGTCTACTTTTGTGTCATTTGAACTAATTATTTAAATAAGTAGCTTGAAATATACTTCCAAATGTTATTGTTAGTTGGTCATGATGTTGCTTCTGTTCATGAGCTTCAAAAAATAATCAGTAAATAGGACCATTTGTTTGGGCGGAGATGTTGAAGGTGTAAACCTAGAAATTATAACTGATGACAACCACATCAGGAGCTCCAATCTGTATGCACAATTGTGTCCTCTCACCCAGCTCTTTCCTGAACTTGGACTTCCTGCCTTAATTTCAACTTGCCCAAACCTAAAATCAGCTCTTCTCTTACAAATCAGCTACCTCTCTCAATTCATCTTTCCTTTTGTCAATGAACCATTAATTATTTCTTGCCTTAATCTTTGGCTGAAAAAAAATGTGACATCAACCTTGATTTCTTTCTTTTGCTTTTGCTATTCAGTCACCAGGCTTTGAATGGTCTTTCTTTGAAAAGTCTTATGTCTTTTCTTCACTCTCATTGCCATAAATCCCACCGCCTTGGTCTGTCTTCATTTCCTCATTCCTGAACATGTAATACATCTTTCTAGGTCAAGCCCATGCCCATTTGCATCCATCTCCCCAGGTACACTGTGCCCCCTGCCTCCGCTCAGAGGTAGCCCTGGACCAATTCATCCTGTGTCCTATAATGTGGCAGAGATCCTGGACTGGGATTAGTAGTCACTATGTTGCTGATTGAATCCCGAGTCCCTGCACTCATTCTCTGCAACCTGTGGAGCCTCCACATCTAATACTTTAAGAAGCATCAGGTTATCTGCTTGTCCTCTGTGATGCTCTATTGTCTGACCTCTCTAATTTTAGTGGTTCCTCCAAAGTGTAGGTTATTTTGGGGAGTGGGGAAGTGAGGCCTCCCTCCTTCATCTCTATCAAGCTCTCAAATCTATTAAAAAAAAGTATACAATGTATGTCAGTGATTTTTATCTCATGGCACATATAAACTAATTACTAAAATTCTGCAGCACATACAAATATATTTTTTTGCGAATCTGACAAAAAAGAAAATAGGTATAATTTTGATTCATTCACATTGTACGGCTTTGGTATGTTTGCTGTTTCCCTTTTTCCATTTGACAATCTAAGGGACAAGAGGTCAGTGTCCCTGACTAAATAGTCAGGTATTGCATGTTTTAAAATTCCTGTGGCACACCAGTTGAAAATTGCTGATCAAAGTGAAGAGAGTAGGCTTGCTTTGCATCAGGATAAGCCTACATTCTTTCTTCCACCCTGCTTGCTGTGCCAAATCTCACATGGAACTTCCATAATTCCCCTGCTTTGTGTAATTACTCTCTAATACTCTCCTTCCTGATTTCTTACCCGCATAGAGGTGGTATTCCTGGAATTTTCCTAGAATGTCTTTAACTCAGCCCAACTTCCTGTTCAAATGCTGCTTCATTTGAATTTCCCATATGAAGCATTCTCTCATTCAATGGTAATAGATCTCCTTTCATTAGCTTGTCCAGCATCTATAATACTCACTTGGTCACTTAAATATATCCTACCTTACACAGTGTGTGTGTGTGTGTGTGTGTGTGTGTGTGTGTGTGTGTATGATGAGCTGATTCTTATTTCCTTAAGGGAAAGGCTTAAAATTCATTCTAATTTTTCTACTATAGCATTTGATTGGACTCAGCCTTAGTGCTTATAAGTATTCACAGATTGATTCATAGTTACGGACATACTAATAACAGACGTTAGTTTGAAAAAAAAGAAAAGGAATACTCTACAGCAGCAGCAGAAACCAAACAGAAAACCCTGACCAAGGCCATTCCATTGTGCAAAGCAGTAGGCTTAGTGGCTAGAGTCACACTTGCCCCTGGTGCATGGCTTCCCAACTTAGCTCTGCCATTGGCAATTCCTTACTGCTTTGTCCAACTGGGCATCAGCGACCCGCAGCAACTGAAAAAGGTAGCCATTTGAATGTCCTTTACTGATTAGGTCTAGAGCTTTCCCAGCCAGGGGCTCAGTAGCATTGCAGTCTATGGGACTCACAGCGTAGGAATATCTAAGTGTGATCCAAAGGATGGAAAGCTGAACGGCAATGAATGTCTTCATTTTGTTAAAACAGGAAAACCATCCCTTGCTATGGTATACCACAGCAGAGAATTTTATACAGACTTTTTAAACACACACACACACACACACACACACACACACACTATTGATTAATCAGTCTTTCTCCATTTTTGTTGTGTAAACTGAATGTTCACTGCCACAACCTTTTGCAGCAGAGGTTCAGGATCTGAAGAAGAGACCAACTCACAAATGAAAATACTATTCAAGAAATATGAATTTAGAAGGCATGGGGGGCCAGGTGGACACATCTCTCTTGTGGAGGCACACTGAAACCTGGTCTTATTTGCCTTTTTTTCAATTTTAGATACACATCTTGCCCTCAGTAATGCATGGCAAACAGGTAACAGACGGACTATCTCTAAGGTCCATAAAGATCAGTAAGATCCAGTAAATATTTACTTTGAGGCTATTAGGTCAGGAGACTGCTTTGAGCCACCGCTGTCTCAACACAGTCGTGCTAACGTCCAAGGTCCATCATCCTTCCACATTCCTTGGAGCACTCTTATGACAGTATTGGGAAAGCGGTGGCTTTCCACATCTCCCCATTTTTGTTTTCTTAATAAATCTTGAAAAATGTATGCCATGTGTAGGGTTTAGGTCCTTTTAAGACTCTTCATTCTGAAGGAAAAATACCACATGATCTCACTCATTCATGGATAATAAAGACCATTACAAACTTTTGAACAATAATAGATACAGAGGCAGAGCTGCCTCAAACTGATTGTCAAACTGCAGCGGGAAGGCCAGGGAGGGTTGGGGGGTAGGAGGGAGGGGGGTAAGAGATCAACCGAAGGACTTGTATGCATGCATATAAGCATAACTAATGGACATAAGACACTGGGGGATAAGGGAGGCCAGGGGATTGTCAAGGGCGGGGGGGGGGGGGGGAAGGACACATATGTAATACCCTTTGTAATACTTTTAGCAATAAAAAAAAGACTCTTCATTCTGCATCTGCAGACTAGAAATAAACATATAAGAACAAGAATGAGACAGACAATAGTGGTTATGCTATGAGGTAAATATAAGGAGAGTGAATGAAATGGATTAGTTCTTTTAAGTCCTTTTTAAATTGCTGCCAGGCATCTAAGGAATTAGTCTGTAGTCGGCTTCTTTCTGGGCCATCAGTTCCTTATGGGTCCCCTTCTCAATCACTGTCCCCTGTGACATGACAGCAATGATATTCAAGTCCTGGATGGTGGATTAATGGTGGACAATGACAATGCAGGTCCGACCTTCTCTGGCTTTGTTCAGGGAAACCTGCACCTCGCACAGCTGATGACTGTGAGCATGGCAAGGCTTGTTTACCACCTGCCAGGTAATCTTTGGACTGTTTCTCCTCTCTCTCCTTCTCCTCCTATTCCTTATCTTTAGCTTGTTGCTTGGGGCTACTGCTATATGTGTCTGGAGTAGTCGATTGTCTGCAGCTGCAGGTACAGGATGAGGCTCCACGTGCCAGGTCCTCATTAGTCTAGTCAGTTTCTCTCTGGGATCCATGTTGAAGTTTAATATTCCTTGCAGGAATTCACATGAGCTTGGAGGAGTTTTCTCAAAATACATAAGCACATCCTCAACCAAAGGTTAACAAAGGACCCTTCCATAAACCAGACACATTTTCCTTTGGCTTATTCTGACACCAGTATAATTCCATAGGTGTCCTGCCATCAGTGTTACAAGTGAAAAAATGTAAATAAAGGCTTGGTGTAGTCTACTTACAGGAGACTTCACCACTATTTCCCTGTTTTGTTTTTCAAGTTGGGATTTTAGCTGCTGATGTTGGCCTTCCATAATTGCCTGTCCTTGGGATTTGTATCGTATTCCTATTAAGGTCCTCTATTTTCCACTTTTTACAAAATTGCTGTAAATGACAGCTTGTGTATGCAGGTCTATTATCAGTTTTAACAACTTTTGGAATTCTCATGATGGCAAAAGCAGCTAGGCAATGATTAATGACCTGATTTGCTGTTTCCCCTGTAGATTTGCTGTTTTCCCCATAGGACCTTTGAAAAAGTGTCAACAGAGACATGCAATGCCCCAAGGCATCCAAAAGGAGTCCAGTGTGTTACATCCATTTGCCAGATAGGGTTCCTTATCAATCCTCGAGGGTGAATTCCTGTATTAGGCCCTTGAGGCAGATGTAACATGCAAGTGGGTCATTCCTCAATAATCTGTTTTGCCTGCTGTCAACGGACTGAGATCTGTTTAGACAACATTTTGGCAGGCTGATGTAAAAGCTGATGAGATTTTGTGGCCTGTTTTAATAAAGCAACCAACTGATGAGCATATGCATTTCCTTTTGTTAAAGGACCAGGCAGGATGGTATGAGCCCTGATATGAGTAATATAAAAGGGGTATTGTCTTTGCTGTACAATTTGCTGTACCTGTTTAAATAGTATAAATAGACTTTGGTCACTGAGCCATCTTAATTGAGCAGACTCAATTCTGTTTACCAGGCCAGTAGTATAGGCAAAATCAGAAATAATATTAAGAGGCTCTTGGAAATCCTGCAATGCAGACTTAATAGCTTCTAATTCAATTGTTTGCACAGAAGTATGACTGGTCTGGATGACTCAGTCTGAGTCATTAGATGAACCATCAGTAAAAACTGTTAATTCTCCAGGAATGGGTTCCTGTCTAATATTTTTTAGTATAAATAATAGGGGTGTAATATAAAAATTGTAGTAACTTGTTTTTTAGTAGGTGACAACCAAGTTCCCCTGAATATTCACTTATTTCAATTTGCCAATTCAAATCAGTCTGAAATAACATTTCTAATTGCTTCTGGTGAGGGGAAGGTAGATGCATTGAGGTTCTTGTCCTCTAAGCTGCCTGCAGCGCTTTCTGAGTTGAAATACTAATTGAGCCATGAGTTCTATATATGTAACCAGAATTTTAGAGAAATGATGCCCTAGGTGGACTCACTCAATAAGAGTAGGAGAGTTTTTATTTTGGAAGATGACTCCAGTGGGACTATTTGCAGTAGGATTAATCTGTCCTAATAAAGGCAATTCAGGCTATACCCATGATACTTGGGCTGAGAAGATTGCCTGCTCCATCCTACCTTCATCAGTTATTGTTCAGGGTGAGGAAAGATTAGAATTATCCCTTAGTATATTGAATAAATTTGTCATTTTTCTATAGAGATTTTTAGGTAAGGTCTTAATTAATGTTCTCTTATAATTTTTGAAAGTCATGTAATGTTTTAAGGCAATCCGTTTGTATTTCTACTTTTTAAGGCTTAACTTATTGGTTTTAAATTACACTTCTTAGATATTTGAAGGGCATTTCTCTCTGTATTTCCTCCCATAGCAACCTCTAAGTGACAGTTAGGGGTTTTCCTTTCTAATTGGGTAGGCACTGCTAAAGTCTGCTTTACCTGTGTGTTTACCATAAATCACTATACTAAAGACGTTTAATGTCTTTTAAACAGAACAACCAACTTGGTTGCCTTTCAGAAAATCAGATAGGAGAGAGACATGCTGGCCAATACTGCAATGCATACATTTCAAGTAAAAATAGCTTTCTTTTTACTTATGGTGTCTCATTAATGGTGAGATTTAATGCTTGCATAATAATTTTTAGTTTACTTTGTAAATGGTAGCAAAAGAGATTTTAAAATTTCTCCTTTTTATTGAGCTTAACTTTACTTTCAAACAGCATTCTTTTTGGCTAGTGCTTATTTGCATACAGATGCAAATTTTACTTTGGACTTTACTAGAACCAATTGTTCAAAAATATTGGCTTCTCATACAAATGAGTTTATATGAGACTTTGATTATATTGTGAAAAGCTAACTTATTAAAGTATGTACCTTTTTGAAAAAGCAAAGTAAGCAAACCTATACATCTGATCTATGAAGTACAGATGCCATCGCACCCCCAGCCAATTTGATGAGCAGCCCGGGTTTCGTTCTGAGGCATTATGTATGCTTCTGTCTTAATATTCCACTGCTGAACATTCTGGTTTTGCTTAAGAAGTATTCTGCAACATTGTCCTGCCCTCCCTTTCTGTGTTAATCATTTTCTGTCGTTAGCAGAAATGACAAGGGTAGTGGTCTAGCCCCTGTCTAAACTTCCCTGAGATTTTATGACCCTTTTACAACTTTTGCAAAGAGTTAACTTTAGAACTTATTTCTTTCTTTTAATATTTATTTTTTCCTTTTCATTACATACACAACCTTCACAAATTTCACACTTTCAAATTAGCCTTCAAACCTTTCTATGTCCTTCAAAAATGCATAACCATGCCTTAGACCTTCCATTAAGTATTTCTACTCTACTTTTCTTTCTGTTATACCATCAGCAACTTGTATAGACCTTTTTCTTTTAAAATGTATGAACTGCCTTCTATTATTACAACCATACAATACTTACACCTTAATTTTCCAATGTTAATTAATAGTAAACAGCCAGTATTTCTTAGATTGGCATATATAAACATTCTCACTTTTAAGAAATATATTTTTAGATTTTCTGTAATAAAAGGTAAAACCAGGTGATCTTAAAACTTGTTGGAATATTTAGATGTTTGTCATTTAATCCAGCAATGTTCTAAAGTCTTGAAGTTACCAAAAACTTTGGAAAATTATGTACAGGCATATGATGCCAGAGAAAAGGCAGGACAAGGAGGGAGCAGGCCTCTAGCCCCTTGGGTTTAAACTGCTACATTCTTCCTTAGAAATAACATCTAAGGTTATTGCTTTGGCTTCTCTGCCTTTATAGGGAGAATGGCGACTGGCCTTTTCCTCTAACAGAGCGTGTATAGTGAGTCTCTTCTTAAGTGACTGGACTTTCATTATTATTATATTTATAATTATTACTGAAAAGCTTTATTACAAATTCTTCATTTTAATTACATCTATTTATGTTTTAACAACTTTGAGATTTTAAAGCCAATTATGATTATCCAAGGCATTTTCTTTGGCAAATTCTGTAACAAAGATAACTTACTGGCTTTCAGTGTCTTTAATATTAAAGTAT